TCCTCTGTTACACGACACGCCTTCCTAGACACAGACACTTGTGCTTCTCTGTTACACGACATCCCTTCCAGACGCAGACACGTGTACTTTTCCTGTTATATGACATGTGCTAGTGTGTGCCGAGTGCTCTCACTACCTGCACCCCTGTCCTGTTCCCACCCCCTCACTTTCCGCCCTTCCTTTCCTTTTGGGCATTGATTTTGGGCAGATGCTGACCGTGTGGCCTTGTGGATCTCATTCCTCTGAAGTTAGTGTTTATTTTGGAGGCCAGTTATTTGGCTGGAAGCTGACCTTCAAGAGTGGGCATCTTAGGGTGATAGCCTCAGGGGCTCTGCTAGTCTCTCTCACTCCACTAAGTCTGGTTTTGTTTAAGGCATTTTTCTACACTCTTCTCCCTCATATCCAGGACCTTCTGCAGCATTCCTGGTCAGAACGTCAGTGGTGGTAGCTGTGGCCCATCTAGATCTGGTCTCAGGTTAGAAGAGGCTGTGGGGCCTCGGGCTGTGTTTTGTGGACCAGCTTTGGCCTTGAGTCTGTAGTTCCCTTTATTGTCCTTTGTTCTGGATCAGGAAGGCCCACTAGCTGTGCTTAGATGACCACGTCCACGTTTCTAAGACCCAGATCGTAAAATCTACCATGTCGGGTGTTGAACGCTACTTATCTGAGCTCAGTTATGCCAGTTGACCTCATCATCACAGGAGACTGTGGTCCTAAACCTTCACACCCACTGAGCAGTTCAGTCCCACGAGGCGTTTAGCTGTGTCTGGGGAGTGTCCCTGCTGTCCACTCCTGTGTTTTATTGATTCTACGTACAGCTCATAGAACCACGATTTGGCTTACCTGCTGTTTGTGAGGCATTAAGGGTTTTTGAAATTTATGTATTGACCAATAGACTGGTTGATTTTTTAAAATTTTATTTTATTATTTTGTGTGTGTGTACCATCAAGTCAGATCTGACTGGTACAGGAGGAGATTACCCCTCCTTCTCCAGCAGAGCATCTGGTAGATTCGAAACTGATTGCTTTTTAAGACTTAAGGGGATAGTTTTGGTCTCAGGCTTAAAGATGATCTCAGGACAGTAATTTCAGGAGGTTTTTAGTTTGAAACTAATTCTCTGTAGAAGTGAAAACATTTTCTAAAGCTGTGCCGCTTTTTCTTCCTCAGTTGCTTTAATATTCCATGAAAATTGTGCCATTGTGACTGAAATAGGAGCAATATTTTGTCTTCTATTATTTAACGAAGTATCACAAATGGATGTATGGTGAGTATGCAGATTTTAATCATGTACAGTTATCCTTCTGTGGCTTCTGATGCAGGACCATTTCTGATCATGAGACTATGCTTTCCATGCTTGACTTACATGGTATGATTTTTGGTTGGAATGAGCTATTAAAAAGCTAATTTGTGCAAAATTCTGAAAATTGTACAAATTTTGAAATTTGTGCAAAAAACCTTGACATTTTCTTTTTGAACAAAACTAAGTTCAAAATAGAAACATTACCATAGTGCTTTATTTTTAGTAACTTTCTCATATATGTTCTTAATCTTGTGTCCTTTTCTCTTTAATATTTGATTACTCCTATAAATAATGAACTTCCCTGGGAAGTTGTTTAGGGTGGTAACATCTTACCGTCGTGGGTGTTGGGCAGGCCCTGTGGGAAGGCCGCTCAGAGCCAGGGCTCAGTTAGGAAGTGTGGGCTCAGCAGCCTCCTTCCTCCATCTCCCTGTGATCCAGGTGCACTGACCCTCCCGGCCAGCCCTCGTCGCCAGCGGTCTTCAGTCTGCCTCTTTCTGTTATTAGAAGGTAAAGCGCGTGTTTCTTGATGGGCACAGTACTGTTATGGAGACGGACGCAAACACATAGAATCCTTACGGTTTCATTCAGCATTTAAGTGTCCAGCGGTTCTATGCAGAGTTCATTGTGTTTGGGAGTGCGGTGGGCTTTGCTGCCCACTCTCTTCATGTCCCCAGCTTGTCCCTTTGGTGGTGCAGGGTCTGTAGGAAGGTTGAGGGGATGAGCTCCCGAGGGCCCTGGGTCCTGTCACCACCTGGGAGTATTAACGATTGGCTCCCTCTTCCCAGGTACCACCTCCCAGTGCATGTCTGTGGTCATCATGCCGTCAGTCCTTTCACCATCGTCTTGCCTCTGTCCGCCGACTGCCTGGCCCAGAAGCCGGTGTCAGATATGCTGAGAATAGCCTGGAACCTGGCCTGGTATCATGGGGTTGACAATCTGCTGCAATCCACGAGCTCCGAGGCCAGCAGCCCAGAGTAAGCTGTGGGCTCGTCCTCTGAGAGCCTCCTCTGGCCTCCTCTCCTCCCTCCCTCCTGGTCCCTCTCCTTCTCTCCTTCCTCCCATCCTGCCCTTCCTCCTCCCTGCTCCTTCTCTCCTTCCTCCCATCCCTCCCTCTCTCCTTCCCTCCCTCCCTCCTCCCCTCCCTCACTCCATCCCTCCTGCCTGCTCACCTTCCCTCCTCCCTTCCATCCCTCCCTCCTCCCCTCCCTCAGTCCCTCCCTCCCATCCTCCATCCCTCCCGCCCTCCATCCCTCCCCTCTTTCCCTCCCTCCCTCTCTCCCTCCCTCCCTCTTTCTCCCCTTCTCTCCTTTCCACCCTCCCTCCTTCTCTCCCACTCACCCTCCCCCCACTCCTGTTGAAAGGCCTTCGCTTTTGGTACAGTGGTCAGGATTCTAAGTCTTCATTTTATGTTCAAAATCTCACACTTGCCTTACTTTAAAAATTTAATCAAATGCAAGATTATGTGAAAAGACATTGTTTTAGATATAGTTTTACAGGTTATATAAGCTTTTGCTAGTTAATGCATATCACAAGGAAAAATATTTTAGATTAGAATAAAATCTCACGAAGTATTATATATAAACATTTGTATCATTACTGTGCCGATGGTTAGTTTGGAATATTTACCTTCTCTTAAACGTTTAGTCTGTCAATACTTCCAAATATGAATAAAAATTATTTTGTTGCTGTAAGTTGGGAAAAGTTCCTTATAGACCCTGGGGTGGGTAGTGGAAAGCTCTCTGATTAAAGATGGAGCCCAGTTTTTAATCTGCTGTGAGCCAAACTGTAAGTAAACGAAAGTGAAGATAAGTCACATTTTTAGAGAGGATTTACTATATACTAAATATATATGAATATATAGATGTGAGCCTTAAATGTAAAAAAGAAAGAAAAGACCCACACCTTGTGTCTCCCTCACCACCTCTCTTCTCACTTAGGTTTGTCGAGGCCTTGCGACTGTCTGCCGAGGACACCCTCACTCTGCGGGTCACACACACGGCCAGTGGCCTGCAGGACTGCCTCCATGCCATCGTCCAGGCCGCAGGCCACCGGGAGGTCAGGGCTGCTGTCACACGCATGGGGTTCTATCTTCTCAACGACAAGCTGTCTTTAAAGAGTGGTGCTGGCCTACGCGGGGTCTCCTCTAAGGCTTCGGCCTGGCACAATGCACTGAACAGGTCAGTGTAGACTCCAGGCGGCATGCTTCGGGCCTCGACTGGACTGTGGGGGTCACCGCCTCGCCTTCGGCGATGAGGATGTGTCTACTCACTGTGGTAGTCAGGGGCGGTTTATTTCATAAGAACTTTGAATATCTGTAGTAATATCTGAACCTAGTATTATAACCTACTATTATAGTTCCATTTGTCTAACTATAACAAAGTAAGAATTGAAGCTTAAGCATTTAAGTTGTATTTTTGAAGGAATCATAAATAAGCTTATAGCAGTTTAATTTGTTATCCTATCCAGGAGAACGCTGTTTATTTCATCCCATGGATGAAATAAGCAGTGTGGTTACCCCATCCGTGCTGCGGATAAGCCGAGATCTGCAGGATTGACCAGCAGGTCTGCTCTGTGCCTGCTGCAGGCTTTCCCCACTTGGCTGGCTTCGTCCTCAGGTCAGGGCTCTCCTTTCCTGCTCTGTCTTTATGCAGTCGATTCCACAGGTCGGTCCTTTATGCTGGCGATGGTTAGAGCTTATCCACGTCGTACACACACAGGTGTAGGCGGCCTCGGCTGCAGGTCCTCACCCGGGCAGCGGTGCAACCTTAGTTTTACATTTATGACACAATCTTATGACGTGCAGTGCCGATCAAATCGAAGTCACGGCCGCTCAGGAATTCTGTCTCAGCGGTGGAGTGGACCTGGGTTTCTGAGCATACATCTTCACGGAAGCTCACTGTCTCAGCTCTCGTGTGAAGCACCTTTCAGTTAACTGTGAAATATCTTAGCCACAGCACCACCAGGGCCCCTTTATCACACCTAAAGTGTTTCCTTTGCACCACGTCACATCACACACGTCTCCCTGCTATGAACACCTTTCCTTAATTTGACTTGGTCAGTTGGATGTCTAGTTACACTTTCCTTGGACGGTGCTGGGATTCTGGTTACCACCTTGTAGGAGAACTGATGGCCGAATTCTCAAGACTGTCAAAAGCTGACCATTCAACATAGTCATTAATTACATACACTTACAATTAATAATTAAGTTACGTGGAAAACAAAGGTAATGAGTATGCAGGTCTTATCACCATTTCCTGATCATTTATGTTTCACTTTTACCTACGTGTACTCCTATTTGCTTAGAAATATGTTGGAAAAAAGGATTCTTCTGGTCTGTGAAAAGTGAGAATTTAAGCAGCGGCTAGCAGTGCCCTGGGAGGACCCTCTGTGCTCTCGCCCCAGGAGGACCAGCTGTGCTCTTCTCCGGGCCTCTGTGTCCACACGGTGCCCAGCACCCTGGGAGGACCCTCTGTGCTTTCCCCCAGCCTCTGTGTCCCTCCGATGCCTCGTGCCCCAGGAGGACACCCTGTGCTTTCCTCTGGGCCTGTGTGTCCCCGCAGTGCCCTGGAGGACCCCCTGTGCTTACCTCCAGGCCTCGGTGTCCCCGTGGTGCCCAGTGCCCCGGGAGGACCCCCTGTACTCACCTCCAGGCCTCGGTGTACCTGTAGTGCCCAGTGCCCTGGAGGACCCTCTGTGCTCACCTCCAGGCCTCGGTGTCCCCGTGGTGCCCAGTGCCCTGCTGTTCACGCTTAGCTCCATGGACCCACATTCCTCCAGCAGCCCGCATTCTGGAAGGCAGCTTCTGGTGCTTTTCTTGGTGGTTTTCATAGCACCCAGGATCGCGTCACCTTCATGGCACGCTCGGACACGTGGCCTGGGGGTGTGAGTTTACGATGAACTGAGATGCTGTGTGGATTAGGCAGTTACGGACACCGTGATTGTTGTCTTCTTCTTTGGAGGTTTTTACAAGTGCTTCCTGCTTGTACTGAGGATGAGAAGCTGCTGATAGATGTCATACACTTTTTAAATAAATTAATGAAGGAACAAAGGACATCGTCATCAGAGGAACTTTTAACCTGGATTCTGGAGTTACTTCTTAGACAAGTAAGTGTTGTGGGTTTGGGCTTCAGTTTGCTGCATGTCTCATTTGTAAATGATTAACGTGAAGCGGTGGATAGAGGGGTCATTTTTAGAGGGACGTGTCTGCCAAAGCTGATCTCCCACTGTGGGCTGGCCCGCCGCAGCGTTGCCTTCCCCATGGGCTTGGGTTGAACACACCTGTTTCATCCGTGAACGCTCTGCTACACCTGTTGTAAGGTGGCATCTCCCGGACACTCACATGGGAGTGTGGAGAGGAAGGTGGCAGAGGCGTTGATGGGCTTAGGCCCAGGAGGTGGAGCAGTTGACAAGTAAATGGATGAGGGGAAAGAAAACTGGTGAAGGACCACTGAGTAATGAGGTAGTGGACGGACAAGGCCCCTGGGGTGCAGACATACGAGGGGACCCTGAATGAGGGCAGAGGCCAGTCAGGTATGGGCAGCAGGCAGGGCTGAGGTATCGAGTGAGCGTGGCTCTTACCTGCAGGAGGACAGTGGAGGAGGAGGGACAGGAGGAGGTGAGGGCACGACTCACGGAGGATGTTGGGTTTCCTCGTGTCTGATTGCAAGACGTCAGCTTTCTTCCCCGTGGTTGGTGGTGGGGCTCCTGGACCATCTGCTGTAAGCGTTCTCTGTGGTCAGTGTCAGGGTGTTTTCATCTTGGCATTTTGCTGTTGTGGACCGGGCTCCTGTGCCTGGTGGCTGTTCCCTCACTACGCATCGTCACCCATCCGTGTACCTCTCTCCTGCAGGCAGCGGTCTGGCTGACTTGCCCCCGAGCTCAGTGGCCTGGACAGACAGGGCTTAAGCAGAGAGCCGCCTCTGACCCACCTGTCTCAGGTCACAGCTGCTTTCATTCCTTCTTCATTGCATTTGCACCATCACCTGGATGTCCCTGCTCGTTTCCCGCCAAACACACCTGCCCCACTGGAGTGCAGGCCCCAGGAAAGGTCCTGTGCTCCAGCCACGTCAGCCAAGGACAGGTCTAGAAGGTATTGAGAACAAAGCACCGTGGTGATGCTTGTAGTTTGTATAGTAGTGTTCACCAGGACAGGGTTGGAAGCAGGAGTGGCGTCCACTTCCTAAACAACCTTCCTCCGAAAACTCTGTGAACTTTGATAAATGTCCATAGTTATAGAGAGGCTTCAGGCCTTTTGTTCATAGGGTCGTTGTGAGTTGTGCTCAACTTGAAGACAGTCAACAACAACAACAGTGTTCAAAAATAAAATTTCAGGGTGGTCTTTTGTACAATTGGGCTTTTTAATATTGCTTATTCAAACCAAAAATCATACCACCTAAGTCTAACATGGAAAGCACGAATTTATAGATCAGAGATGTCCCTGCACTAGAAGCTGCCAAGAAATAACTGTGAAAGAGTTAAACTCGCATGTTGTTGTTGTTATATGCTGTTGAGTCGTTTCC